CCATCCCAAGGCCAGTTTTGCACCGAGATGTTCTTGAGGAACGTGGGGAGAAGTGAATCCCTGTGGGCTGCTCCAGGGGCTGATGGAACCTGTGAAGGGTGAGATGAGCAAACCCTAAATCCAGCACTAATAATTAACGAGGTCATGGAGGACCTGCATGTCCCAGTGCCCTGCCCCACAGTGGTCCAGTTCCCATTCTACAGGAGCTCCTGATGGTGGACTCTTCCAAGTCCTGTACCAAAGGCATTATGAGCATTTCTTATAAAAATTATTTTCCTTTGTGTGGAAAAAATAAAGACTAAGGTAACGATTTCTTCAGAGAGGAGCTTAGCAAGCGCTGGTGTTTTCAGAATTGTTCCTTCCTGTATTTAAATCTTTTGCAAATATTATTCCAGAAGCACATGCACGAAACTGGCATGTTGGAAATCCCATGGATGAGCAGCCACCAGCTCTTTGCTCAGTCCATAATGATGAGCAACAAACTAAATAAAGTCTTTGCCAGTCTAAGACTAGCATAGAAGTTTGTCTAATTTTGATTTTTAACAGCATCTGAAAAGCTTTTATGGCTAAATTGGTTTAGAGCAGGTTCATTTCCACCCCAAACCAAAACTGCTTTATATTGTAAGGAAAATATTTAACGTATTTAACTTTGCAAATTTACTAAATAATATCAACTTGAAAGGTGGCTGCTAGTAAGGTTTTTTTATGTAGTTTATAAAAATACTTGTGGCAATTCAGCTTTAATTTGTAAATAATACCGTTGTCTTAAACAGTTTATATTTTGACTGGAATGGTCATTTATTTACAACAGTTCTCTGTAACCTCTTGGACCAGACAGGGCAATTTGGGCTGGACTGAAATTTGACACTTGGGCTCTTGGCCATTAATTTGGTGTGAACAGGTGAACACCTGGGTGTCCACATCAATAAAACAGCTGTTGGCAAAAAGATTTTTAATTTTGCATGACTGCAATTAAAAATTGAAGGAGATCATCTAACTTAGAAAGTTTTGTTACCAAATTACTCCAGAATGGTACAAAGACCACGAAAACATTTCTCTGCCAAGGCTTGTGCACCCCTGAGGATGCTTTGCTGTCATGATCTTGGAATTCTCCTAAAAATAAGCATAGTGGATCTCAGGTGTTTACATTGGGGCTTTGCACACTGTAAAATACAGAAGGTCAGCTCAGCTCTTTGTGTCACTCCAAGGCCCTTTGCAGGATTAGGGTTGTGGATATTAATTCTGAAATCACTCCCGAAGTTCTTGAAGTTTTCTCTCGTTTGGGGTTGAACTGGATGATCTTTAAGGGCCCTTCCAACCCAAACCATTCTGTGATTCTGACTCTTGTGTCCCATCATTCCTTCCAGATGTTCCAATTCCCATTGGCCTTTCCCTAAATAAGTCTTGTAGGGATTTTTATCTGATGAACTCCAGGGTTTTCTGTCAGTGGCTGCCTTGGCTCAGAGAGTTCCAGCATCCGTTCTGTGAGTGTTGTCAAGAGCTCTTGGACCTCACTGCTGCTTTTCCTTGTACCATTTATTCTCTGTGATCATCTAAACTCTTCAAAATAAGATTTCTGCAGCAGAGAATATTTCATCAAGGGCCTGTGCTCTCAGTCCATCATCTTAGCCTGTGTTCTGCCTGTATCCCCAGACTCTTTTCCTTTGACTCTCTGGAAGTGCTCCTCAGAAATTTCAAGGGAAATAAAAGGTTTAAGAGACTGTAACTTGCTTTGCTGAACTGGTGTTGACCAAAAAATAATGTGATATATCTGTCCTTTCTGTAAATATTGATTGAAGAATGACAGTAAGGCACTTAGTTTTGGTTACCATATTTACTATCTGCTTTAGATAAATATTACAAGGCTTACCTATACAATAGATAGTTTTAAAGTGTGTTGTGTCTAAGACCTTTGAAGTTTTTAGTAAAGAATGTATGATAATAATTACTGTAATAACCAAAGTTTATTGCATCAGATTTTTGGTAATAAACCCAAAAGGATAATTCTGCATTTGGTCCTTTTCTCTTTTGATAGCTGGTCCACAGTCCCAGGGCAGGATAAATTGCTGCTGCCAGAATTTCTTAATTTCCACTGGAAAGAGAGGAACCCTGAATCATTAGCCTGATAAACTAATGCTTAGTTGTCTAAATTTAGGTGAGAAGAACCCGAGACAGAATTAGCTCAACTGCACAGTTATTCCTACAGGAGACATTTTGGAGTACTTCCCTTTTTTAATTATTTTTTGAATAACTTATTTGTGTACTTTTGTGAATCTTGCTATTTGTTAAAACAGTCCAAAGTGGAAAGACTTAATCTTTATTGAAATTCATCTTTAAGCAGTGCTGTTTGCTCAAGGAAGCTTTATGAAACACAGTTAATGCAGAGTATGAACAGGGTTTTATTATGTTTAATAGTGAAACGGGTGAAAAGAACATAATCTTCTCACTGGCCATACTTTTGAAAGCTTTGGCCAAAAGTGTTTGTGGTCTGGGCAATGCTGTTTTGCTTGTGGGATGCTGAATATGTAACTGAGCTGAAATAATTGCTTTGGAGTAACTACCTGCTGAGCATCACGGCAGAAATGTACATTGTTGTGATGTGGGACCTGCTCTGATATTGGTGATTTTTACATCCCTGTAATTTCTGTTCAGTTTTTCTGCCTTGTGCTGTGAGAAATAGGAATTATCTTTATTTGGGCTCTCTCACAGATTTGGTGTAACCAAACTCTCAGCCTTAGCAGTTGTTTGTAGTGTCTGAACCAGCAGCAGGGAAGTTCAGCACAGAGCCGGGGTGAGGTTTTGAGGGGAGAAGTTCTTTATTTTGATAAGAAAGTCTTTCTTGTGGATGTCTTGGTTTGTTGCTGTGTGGTTTGTGTCTGTGTGTGTTTAAATTTGCAATGCCCGAAGATCAGCACATCACACTGCGGTGTCTTTGCAAAGACCCTTGCAAGGAAATTATTAATTAATTAATGTTATTAATTGATTAATGTTAGTGAGAAGTGCTTGGTTGGAGCAACCTGGGCTAGTGGAAGGTGTCCCTGTCCATGGCAAGGGGGGTGGAACAAGATGATCCTTAATATCCCTTCCAACCCAAGCCATTCCATTCCATGCAAGGTGAAGCCTTCACATGTGGAGCTGCTTCCTTCTCAAATCCCCGATTTTGTGGGTGAATGGGAGAAGGGCTTGGATCCCCCTCTGTTTTTTGTAGGTATGGATTAAACCCACCAATATTTCTGAAAAAAATAAGGCTCCCTGGAACTTCCTGTGTGTTTGTCAGACTCACCTTGGCCCCGTGTGGGTTGGTGACTGTGCAGGTTCTGTGTGCGTGTTGGGTGGGGATGGAAACCGTAAGGTTTGTTTGGAAGTGGCCCCTGAATATTCCAAAAAACTCAGGAATGTCTGAAAAACCTGGGGACGGAAAGGGATGATAAACTTCCATGCTGAACTGCTCCCTGTGATTTCTGGTGAATCGTCCAGGACTCTTAAAAACACACAAATGGAAGGGGAGCAGCAGGTCCCTGAACGTTCTGTCCTGGCACTGAAAAACTGCAGACGTGCAAGTAAGGGTAAAACTGGATTTCTTAGGGAGCCACGAGCAGCTGGAAAACGCCCGCTTTGCCTTTTTACACCTACTGGAGGTCGTTTGGGATTCGCCTTTAAAAACCCCCATCGGTCTCCATTGAATTAGCCTCAGACTTGATTAGAGACGAGCTTTCCGAGTCTCGGGCAGGGCTCGGGGCAGCCCCCGGCCCAGCCTGCCCATGTGCGGCCGTCGCTGTCCCCGTTCCCGCTGGGAAGGGCGGGCGGTGCCGGGGGTCCCGGGGCTGGAGGGGGGCTCTGGCGGCCCGGCATGGGCGGCTCTGTGGCCGTGTGACCCCGGCGGGTTCTCTTCCTGCCGCAGCCCGGCTTTTCCTGTGCCGGTACCTGCCGCAGCCCCGGGCTCTTTGTTACCCTCGGCGGCCGCTCCGCACGGTCGGGGCCGCGGGGATGGGCGGGCAGCGGCTCCGGCAGAGCCCCCTGTGCCACCCCTCGTGTGCCCCCTGTGCCACCCCTCGTGTGCCCCCTGTGCCACCCCTCAGTGAGCTCGGTGGATTCCTTGGCAGCCCTGCCAGGGATGTGTCATGTGGGAAAGGTCAGGGGATGCTTCCTGAGCTCACCCCACCTGCCTCGGAGAGCAGCAATTGCAATTTAAATTACTTTCTAATTTTCTTTTCTTGTTTGTTTTAAACCGTGTCTTTCTTATCACTCGAATGGATTCTAGAGCGGGGGTTATGCTGTGAGTAGAGGGAAAAGGAAACTCCAGGCAGGCTGAGAATCGTCTCTGACTGGTTTTAATTGCAGTTTTCTTAACATCTGCTTCCTTTCCACAGTTCGCTTATGGATGCAGTAGAGCCTAGGATCAAACTTCAGAAGGCTTGCTAGAAAGATGTGTGTCTGTGTATGTAAAGGAGTTACACTGTTTTGTTTATTTTTAAAAGAAATTCTCTGTTTTGCATACAAAGCAATAGTATAGCTGTGGGCAGCTTCTCTCTTCAGATTGCACAGAAATAATCTATTATTTGTTTGATCTGTGGATGCCATGGCAACATTGAACGCTGTCGAGGTTTGGAGCAGGTTTTTAGTTATTTCAAATTAGCACGTTGTGTTGAAGTGTGAACAGTGACCTGTCCCCTGCTCCCAGCAAAGGCAGGTTGGTGCTGAGGCTGTGACACTGTACCCCAGGAGTCTCATGTACATCTATAAAAAATAAGGATATAACCGGTGGAATTTTAATTTTTTTAATGAAAGCAGTGCTGTCTTTATGTACAGAGTAATTAATTTAAAGCAAGTCACATTGCTTCCAGGAATACCTCATTGTTTTGGCACCATTTCTGTGTTCTTATTTCATTTATTTTGTTCATATATTTAGTTTTTACAGCCTGAGTAGGCAGAGCACTGCTTTGTGTGCAGTGCTAGCTACTGAGATAGTCACTAAGAAAAATACAGTCTAAACCAATGAATTTTTCTGATACTAAACATAAACTGTTCTGTCTTAAACTCTTAGGGAATCCTTACTGCTTAAAAGCACTAAATCTGATTAATTATTATTATTCTCTGGCAAAATGTGGGCCGAAGCAATTGAATGAAGGTGTTTTAAAATATTATATTCTTGAATTTTGTTTTACAACTGCAAGTGTGTTTTGAGGACTGAGCTGAGGAGTTGAAGCCTCAGTATTTTAACTGAAAACTTTCAGTTCCTGATACTTCCCTTCTGTAGTTAATGAGGATTTACTGTGGGATATTGAGATGCCCCTTCTTAGCTCTGTCAAAAGTGACCCAGAGGAAACACCATCAGTTCCATGTTTGCCCCTCAAGTATTTTTGTTCCACTCCTCACCAAATCTTAAAAAATCTGAGGAGAAGAAATAAAGGGAGTTAAGGGTGGTGGTGGCTAATCAAAGGAGGAGGTGTGAGAGAGGGAATGGCCTCGCAGAACTGTAATGGAATTATATACAAATAGTAAGCTGGGCATTGTTTTTACATTCCTGTGTAGTACAAGACCATAATCCATTTAAAAGCCAACTTATATGATTGATTAAAGTGATAGATTTTTATGTAACTGTTGATATCCAGAATTTCCTCCTGAGAAGGCAATAAACACGACTGTAATAGGGACGAGGAAGGGCCTACACGTGTATATAACTGAGAGAATACCCCACACTAATGCAGGAGAAAAATGAGCTCTCATTTCAGGGATAGTCCAGTTGTAGACTTATGGAATGAGTAATTTATTGGGGAGATATATATAGATAGATATGTGTATATTTAGGGGTATATAGACACACACACACACACACACAATCATCCAAACACTTCCCCTGGTTTCCTCCCTGTGAATTTACACTATGTGGGAGTTCTGATGCTGTTCACCATCAGCAACTAGATGGAGGCTTAGATAAGGCTGCTGGTGTTGTCAGATGCTGGAGTTCCTGGTTTATAAATATTTCCAGGGAAAGCCTTGGAGCACAGACACAGATCTTCCTCTGTACCAAAAAACCTTTTAAAGGAAGAAACTATCCAAGATGATCTCTCCTCACAAAAAAAAAAAAAAAAAAAAACAAAATAGGGTTGTTTTTTTCTCCTAGGATGACTTTGTTTTGGGGAAGTTTCTTGGATTGCTTCCAGGTAGATTTTAAATGTTTTCCAGCTTGTCCAAAATATTTATGGGAGTCCCTAATGCTCTTGCAGGTGGTGCCTTGTGCTGACTTGCATGTTGTTCTTTCTTTGAATGAAGCAGTTAGAGAGATCCAGACTGCAAAATGTATCCTTTTCCTAATAGCAGCATTCCTGGGGTTGTCACCTATTGATAAAAGATTTGTTATCTCCAGAGGAGGAGGAAGAATGTGTAGGGTTTGGATGTATAGGGCACCCAGGGTTGTGTAGGACCTGGAACACTTTCCCACAGGTACTCTGGATCTCGAAAGAGTTAAAGAACTACTTTGATACAAATCTACTCTGAGCAAAGGATGTGCTCATGATTCATCTCAACTGAAAACTTCCTCCATCCTACCACCAAATTCTGTTGTGACACTTTCGGGCAGGAAGCAAGAAAAGGATGGAGGAGGGTGGAGACAAGGACCTGGGCTGTTGTTTTTGCCTCCCAAAGCTTCATGCTCTGATCTCATTATCAAATGGCAACAAGTTCCTTTTCATGTTCTTCTCCAACACAGCCCACCACCACTGTCCTTGTCCTCAGCAGCTTGTGTGAGCACTGAGGATATCCAATATTTATGGGGATTAATTTTACACGGGTGTAAACTTAGTTGACTGTGAATGGACTTCTAGATCAACATTAAACTTGCATCTGGAGACACTCCTGGGATCATTACAGCAGGAACAAGCCTTGCAAACCTTCCTGGGAGGTGTTTCCTTACTCTTTTTTTCCCTGTAGATAGTTACAGAGAGGAGACCTGCATCAGCCTTGTGGAAGTGTGGTTCTGTATTTCACTTTTCCAGCCTCAAGTATCTGCTCAGAGAAACTAGAAAGTTTTGGTGCAGTGTCCAGTTAAGTTGATAACTCACCATGCTGGACAGGTCCTGACTATTCCACGTGTGTCCAGGGAAGCTGAAGGAGGTACCTTGTCTTTGTAGGCCTGCAAGTGGTGTTGGAAAGGGACTGATGGACTTTTTGCCATCAAATGACCCCCGGGACAGTGTCCTTTGTCATCCTTTCCCAAAGCTGGCTGCTGCCAAACTGATAGTTCCCATCATAGTCCTGTGGAATATCGGATTTATCAACTACATGACTTGAGTTAAATGAAATTAAGGCTCATCCCTTTGCTATCAAATCCCATTACTTTCCTTAAGATGGCTTAAGAATTGCAGTGTGAGCAGGATCTACCAGGAAAGAACACGTAGAGCTGTCGACGCGGAGAACGGAGAGAGGGTTTAAATGAATTACTGTTATCTCTTGGGCAGAAAGGAAGGCTGCTGGTGAGTGGGACATTCTGAAGGAAACTTTAATTATGCTTCTCCAGGCAGCATCCAAGCATGCTGTCAACTTTAACATCTGCCAGAGGGTGTTCAGTGCCAGCAGGTGTTTGTGCAGCACTCAGCCATCAGCTGGTTCTGCCGTGCCTGTGCTCACACTGGCACACCTTGTCTCGTGCCTGTGGGGAGGTGAAGCCTCACATTTCCCTGCTCCTGGAAAGGGGACATTCCCTGTCAGAGAGGGGAAACCCTTGGATGTGCAGCCCACGGCAGTGGAAGCTGCATGTGCTCCTGGTTTTCCATGTACAGTGTTCAGAGGGAATGAAGGCTCATGGAGCATCAGGGAGGGCAGATGTGTGGCCTTGACCTGGATCTCACGTAGAAGAGGAAATTGCCATTCCCTTCCCTCCCCTCTCTCCTCGGGGAGGCAACTCTGAAAAATTTCTGAATTTTCCTTGTGTGCCTTTTCTATGTGTTCTGAACTTGTTAGAGTAAATGTGGCTTCTCAGTGAGGTAACAGTCTAATTCATAAATATTTGCTTGGGGTAAGGAAGGAAGGAGGAGGAATTGTATCCTTCTGCTTGGCTTTGATCAGATACGTTTTAGCAAAGTACATGGCAGCTGACCAAGATAATGACACAGTGCTTTCCTTTTTTACAGTTTGAAGATAAATCTGATGCTGTGTTTGATATTACAGAAAAATGTAAGTATTTCTGTTTAATTCTCTAAGGTTTCACAAAACATTTCCTGGAAGTATCATTGCTGCTGACCAAGACTGTCTTGCCCATTTCCCAGCCCTTGCTGCCCATTCCCTCCCTGCATTGCCTTCTCCTCAAGTGAGATGGATGGAAATTAATGTTTTTTCTTGCTTTGGTTAATTTTACTCAGTTCAGCTTCTGCTTCAGAGTGGTGAGGGGAACTGAACTGTCTCCATCAGCAATGTTTTAGCAGCAATGTTGGCCCAAGAAGGCTGAGAGTGTTCCAGGAATTGCAGCATCAGCCAGATTAGCAAAGGACACTCCCCCTCCTCCTTTGTAACACATAAAGTTGGTCAGTTTTCCGAATGTTCACTGGGTTTTTTTTCTCCCTAGGTGGTGAAATTCTGGATGCAGAAATGTCTGAGGACACTGACAACTTAACACCCGCCCTGGACAGCTTATCTTACGGGATATCGAATCGAACAGGAGCTGAGAACTCCCTGCAGGGTGATGATCATGATTATTTTCTGAACTCTGGGGATCTTGCAGGCATACCTGTTATTGGGAGTGACAACGAAGAGGAGCAGAATTTCACTCCAAAAGACACTCTTTCTTCAGCGATTCCCGATGAAGATCATCTGGAAGAGGGCAAGAGAGTTCCAGAACACGAATTGGACAGCGAAAAGGAAATTCAGATGCAGAATGCAATCCAGAAGGATCTCCCTTCCCCCTTTGAGCAGGGCCCTGTATTTAAATCCCACCGGAAGGATTTTAGCATAACCCGAGATAACGGCAAAGAGACTTTTTCAGCAAAGGATAAGAATAGAGAAGGACATTTTCAAGAACGTGAGAAACGGTTGGAAAAAATCCCTAAAGATATGGATTCTAGGTTGAAAAGCAGTTTTCTTGACAAAGCAGGTAACTGTTGCCATCGTAGACCTGGCTGCCCAGCACAGAGGAAGAAAGAACTAGACAGGAATTAGCAACAGGGCCAGTTATTGAAAACATCACCTTGTTGAAGAGAACAGGCAGAGCCGTGTGTAGAGAGCAGTTATGAAGAACCCTGAAATCCAATGAACTCTGCTTAGGAGGAGGATTTGCAGAGCATTAGGGGGGGGTCTCATCCTCCCACAGCTTGTTATAGAGCCTCAACATACCCTTTGTTGTTGTGGTTTCCTAAACCAAGCTGGGTGACAATTCGAGCTTCCTTTTGGTTTTTCTCACTGTTTTTTTTATAGACCATGGAACTCCTTCAAAGAACAGCTGGTGAAGCTTAGGTTAAGTTGATGGCCAGTAAAGGTTTCTTTGAGCAAAGTACCAATTCTTCATTAATGTCTAGATGTTTAAAGCAGTATGGATTTGATAGTAGCATCAGGAAAAAGCTTGCTAGAAAGGTATTAGTGTCTGCAGGAGATAAGCCAGAGTGTAGCTTGAGATCTGCTTTTCCTGGGAGACTGCTCTCCTTCTTCCTCAAATACTCATGTCTTGGACCTTGTCCAGCCAACATGGAGAGAACCAGAGATGCCTGGAAACCCTTTCTCATTTGACAGTCACCGTAGTCTTGCTGCCCACACGCTTATTTTTGACTTCCCAAGCTCTGAAAGTTCCAAGCAGAACAGTGAATGAAGGAGTTAAGAATAACCAGGCTGGAACACGTGATTTGATGTTTTTCAGCAGAGGGAGGGTGAGCCAGCACATGAGGGCCTCCTGGCTGCTTGTCCACATCCACAGTTCTGAACTTTACACTCGATATGTTCAGCAACAGCATCTTAAAGTCAGTGCTTCCAGGTGGCACCAGTGAGAGAGGAGCAATAGAGATGTTTTTAAAATAAAGAAGAGTTAAAGATGTCTCTTTGTTTTTACCTTCAGTTAGAGATCAAGGGGAGAATATTTCTGTACAAAATATGTATTTCAGAAAATTGTAAATACCTACAGTTAAAAATCCTCTACAGGTAGAGTAGTCAGTAGTTAAAACAGGAGTGGTGAATGTCCATGGGTAGCATCAAGTATCCAGGCAAATCCAGGTTTTCTAAAAGATATATTTTAAAAAAAAAGCAGAAGCTACTATTTCATGAGAAGGGGGAAAAAGACTAAAGATCAGAACAGCAAAGAAGAACCTGAAAGATGTTGCCCTGAAAAGTATTTTTGGATTTAAATGTCAAAACAGGGGAGAGTTCAGAACCTGCTGGGGTGTGGAAAATTCTGAATGAACAGTTCGCCTTGGAATTTTACAACCATTTTGCTGGAATGGGGAAATAATGATCCAATAGAAAAGTAAAAAAAAGGTCAATTCTCTTTAGGGATTGCCATCTCTCTGGCAGGGAGGAGAGAGGGAGTAGTTTGATACTGGTGAGGTGCTGTCAGACTCTGGGGTTGGGGAGCAGGATGAGACTCTGATAGTTTGAAAGGAAATGCCTTGGAACCTGTATTCATTTCTATTTAATGTATATGTTTTCCTCAGTTCATAATCAAGTAGAAGAAACATTACGGACGCAGTTAGCGCCACAAACTCCAGAAACTAACTTCAGGGTAAGCTACAGACCTTTCAACCACTTTTGCAAGTGCAGCAATGTGCTGGAATAATTCAAAAATACGTATTTTGTATTTTGAGTGTAAATTTGAGTGTCAAGGAAACTGGTCTTCTGACTCTTAGACATCTGTGCTACTTAAACAGTGCCTGTAATTTTGTAAAATTTTGCTGAGCCTCTGTTTGGATTGAGGATTCTTTTGGTAGCCACTTTCCTGTTCAGCGTGGTCTGAGTGACCCGTGAGCCGAATCTAGACCTGGATGCATCCACCTGACCTGCTGCCTTTTTTCCACATGAGCCAGGGAACAGCTGTATCCACAGGAGACACTCCCCAGCAACCAACTTAGAGAGCTGGGTGGCTTCTGCTTCGGCCAGAGGAGTGGAAAGGATTGGGGGTGGGATGAGAGAGGGGGCTGCAGGGAGGTCGAGGCAGCAGCTGCTGCCCAGCACTTCTCCCACCTTCCAGTGGCAGGACCCAAATCTCTTGGTCTGCACCACAAACTCCCCTTGGCAGCAGCCCAACTCCTCATGGCAGATGCAGGAGGGTGAATTCTTTTTCATATTATTGTTTCAGGAGTCTAGCTACCTATTTTCTAGTAAGGAATCTATTGGACAAGAGCTGGGGAATTCCTTTGCACGAAATATTAGAATTAAGGAGGAGCCCTTGGATGACGAATATGATAAAGCTATGGCCCCACAGCAGGGACTGTTAGACAAAATTAAAGATGAACCTGGTAATTCTGAGGTAAGTTTCCCGTCGCATTTCTCATTTTGGTCTGACACTGACCGCATAGGCTGAACATAAATTCAGCACTTTATTTGGTTTGTTGACCGAAATTTAACTTGAAGAACATAGTTTAGTAGAAGGATTTTTCCCTCTTATACTACCATAAAACCCAACCCTCCCCCAACTTTTTGATGTCTTGTTACCTTGTTGCTGAAAATGTTTTTGCTTTTCAGTTGGAAACAAAGCCAAGTGCTGTAAAACTTCTGTTACTAAATCTGTGGCAATGTAGACACTTTATCTCAGTCTAACTAGGAAATAAACTGTAAATCACATTTTGTTGAATACCTTGTGAGTAGTCACAGTTAGAGATGTGAGTTAAAACAGTGCTATTCCTGCTCTTCCCTTAAAGGATGTCTTGTTTTAAATTAACACTCAGAGATCTTAGCAAAATATTTAAGTACTTACACATCAGTAAGGTCAATTCAAGCATGTGTTTAATTCTCATTGGAGACTGACATTTTTTTATGATGATGCAAGTGAAAACTCAATGACTGCAGCCTGGAGAAGGTCTGCCCTAGGAGTGAGGGGTGCTGGGGCCAGGATTGCTGAGCTCAAGCCAATCTCTGTGCCACTGGTTTGTGTGTGACACCAGGGACACGAGCTGGGCTGCAGTTCCTGTCTCCTCACTGCTCATCTTTGGGCCACCTGCCAAACTTCACGTGTTAAAGGTGTGCAAAGTTTCCCAAAATGATCCATCCCCTTGCACTGACACGGCAGTGTTGGTGTGCCTGGGCAGGCATTAGTTTTTAGCATCACTCTGTGTCCTTCTGCTAAACCTCCCCTGCTCTCTGGGCCTGTCTTCCCAGCAGTTTTTCTTCTTTCCCCGTAATACTCTTAATAAAGAAGTAAATTATTTGCAACTTCAGATTTCACTGCCCTTCTGATTTCAGTCTCTGGGGGATTGTTTGGGTTTGTTTTTCCTTAAGCCTACAGGATGTCAAACCACGTGTAGGGTAGTTAAATCTGTCTCTTCTTTTGTCCTCCCAAGATGGCATCTGCTGTGTGGATTTGTGTGGAATGCAAGGCGAGATGTCTGTGGTTATCAAAGATCATGTTAATAAGTAAAAATGAAGACTTGAAGAATTTAAATGTCAAATATCGTATGGTTCAAAATATTCCTTCCTGGAGTAAAATCCTGTGATTATCAACTCTGCCTGATACTGGAAAAGTAGGAGAACTGAGTTCATTTTGTTTTGCTTTAGATTGGAATTAATATGGGGGAGGTTTGGGGTTTTTTTAACATTTCCTGAAAGATAAGAGCACTTCTTGCTGTAACCAATAGTTGGAGCTGAAGGTTTTTGGCTTTCAGCACTGCTACACCGCTGTGAAACTGCTTGATCATGCACAGTTGATGTCAGGATTTGCCTCCATTTCTGTTCCTAGTATTGACTAAAACTGCAGTTAAAATGCTTAAAAAACTGTATGTCTGCAAGTAACTGTTTTTTAAATAATAATAATGATGATAATAATAATAATAATAATAATAAAAATGGTGCTTTAAATCTCCTCACAGCTCACCCATACCCAGCTTAGAACTTCTCTTAGCTGAGATTTGAGTGTTTCAGTTGATGGTTCACATGATCAGGGAACACCACTGCCTGTTCTCCTGGGAAACCTGTTGAGAAACAGTTTGGTTGTCTTAGAGTAGAAACTTTCAGCTTTCCCTGGGAGTAAGAGAAGTGTTCTGTGCTGTGTGGAGGTTGGTGTGGGATTCTTAGGAGCTGGTTTAGGCTGGGGGAGCAGCTCACTGTCACTGGGAAGGGAGGGTTTCCCTTTGCTCAGGGACTCTGAAGTGGCTTCCCTGGCAGCCAGGCAGAGCTGGGAGTTCAGAACATGCCACCCCACCTCACTGCTCCCAGAGGACTGTAAGGAGGTTAAATCTTGTCATCTCTGTAGTTCCAAGAGATTATGCTTTTCAGCCTATTAAGATTTCCACGTGGAGAGTTCCAAGCCACTTTCTGGCTCGGATTTCCAGGGAGAGCAGGGGCAGGAAGCGTGGTGGTGTCAGGAGGAGCTGCTGGGGATGAAGGCAGTCATTTACAGCCTGTCAGCTATTCCACAGGCAGCTGTCCATCCTGCACCGAGTGTGAGGTGGTTCCCCAGGCTGAGCAGGGATGTGATGGTCTGGCTCTGATGGTGCCAGCTTTGATCTGCTGCCAAGCTTCACCTTTGGCTGCTCCATGGTCCTGACTCCTGGTTAATACAGTGCCCCTCAACAAGGTCCCAGCTCTGTTCTTTGCTGTCCTCCATGAATGTGAAAATTAAAGCTTGTTTCACAGGACAGGGGCCAGGGCTGCAGAGCACTTCCAGGTGGAAAGTTTGTGTGAGTGAAAAGCAGAGATTTCCTAAAGCTTTGGCTGAATTCTGAGGTGTCTTGGAGTACAGCTGGAGAGGGCAGCCCCACTTCTCCATCCGTGCACCCCCCAGGTGTGGTTTGCTGTGACCCTCTGAGCAGGTTCTGTGTGTGGTGCTCAGGCAGCAGAAATGTCACCTGGCTTAGGACTCTCACTCCTCCTTAGGGTTCAGTGCAGCATTGTGAAAGAATGGCAATCATGTAAGCTGTGATTACATGTGTGTATTTGTTCTCCTTTTCCTTTCCCTTTGTTTTAGGAGTACGGCCAACAGCCAAAATCTCAGGAAGGGGAGCTGAAAATCAGTGCTGTATTTTCAGTCAGTGGCAATCCTGTTGGTAAGGAATAGGCAAGACTAACTTCATTTAAACCTGTAAAATATGTCACCTTTGCAAATAGTCCTGCAGGTTATTCTGCATTTCATTTCCTATGTCTGACCCCAGTAGGAATAAAGAACTAGTTTGGTTTAGAGACAATGAAATTGAGATTATAAAATAATTGTATTTTTGAGGCATAGGAAAATTGAATGTGAAATACAAGGAGAATTGAATGTGTTAAATGGCCTCAAGCTGAAGGAGGGCAGGATTAGATTAGATATTAGAAAGAAATCCTTCCCTGTGAGGGTGGGGAGGCCCTGAGTATCTGTGGTTGCCCAGAGTATCTGTGGCTACCCCATCCCTGGGAGTGTCCAAGGCCAGGTTGGACAGGGCTTGGAGCAACCTGGACTAGTGGAAGGTGGCCCTGCCCATGGCAGGGGGGTTGGAATTAGATGAGCTTTAAGGTCCCTTCCAACCCACCCCATTCTGTGATTCCATGAAAGGGATGCTGAAAGTGCATTCTTCATCTTAATAGTAGTTAAAAAAATCTGCTATGCAGAAACCCAGCACAGGGCATGTATTTCTGGAGAGTTCATGTGCTATTTGATCCTCCTCTAGACCCTGACAACCCAAATAAAGTCAGGAGCCTTGTGCTTGCCCCTGCACACAGTGAGTTCTGTGTAATGGATCCGTAACACTTACCCTGTGTTTTCTCTGTGTGGTTTGTTTTTTTTTTTAGCTCCACAGCTGTCATCAGGTTTCCAGCCTGCTGTGGCATCCTCTGGCATGAGCAAAATGCTCCCTTCAGTTCCAAGCACAGCTGTTCGGGTTTCCTGTTCTGGCTGTAAAAAAGTCCTGCAGAAGGGGCAAACTGCCTACCAGAGGAAAGGCTCGACCCAGCTCTTCTGCTCCACACTGTGCCTCACTGGATACACCACTCCAGTTTCTCGCCCACCAGCTTCTACCAAGAAAACCTGCTCAAGCTGCTCGAAGTAGGACAATGCCTCAATTTGTTCTAGTCATAATTGATATTTGGGCAGATAATGAAAGCCTTCGGTGCTGGTTTTGCGCCTCTCGCTGCTCCTCTTACACGTCCCTTCAGAAACTGGTGCTGGTGCTGTTCCTTGTTAATTGGTCTGTCTGCTGGCAGTTCCATTTCCTTAATTGGGTGTTACATACACACATTTAAAAGCCACTGTGATGCAGAGTGTCTTTTTTTGATTTAAATGAGCCAAATATGAAAAACTGTATTTCAAAAGGCCCTACGTTTTCCTGCCATTGGGAAATGTCATTGCACTCTCAAAACCACTAACAAGAGTACATTCTCCAAAAGTATTTTATGCTTTATTTCTTCTGGAGGAAAACAGATTTATGAATCCCTAAAATGAAGCAAAACGTGGGTGAAGTAATGTATTCAAGGCCGAATATCTCCTTAGATTCTAAAAAAAATTTGACTTTTTGATCTGGCTCCATTCTGTGATCCAGCCTGTGCTGGAGAATGTTTAGTCTCCAGAAGAAGCGAGGGAGCAAGCTGACACAAAAACAACATTAATCCTTTATCTCTGTGTTTGTTTTTCCTTTTCCATAGAGAAATTCTAAATCCAAAGGATGTAATCACTGCCCAGTTTGATAACACGGACTCCAGTAAGGATTTCTGCAGCCAGTCTTGTCTGTCCACGTATGAACTGAAAAGGAAACCCATTGTCACTATCCACACCAACAGCATTTCCAGCAAGTGCAGCATGTGCCAGAAGAACGCAGTGGTAATTGCAAATTCCTTCATTTGAATTTCCTTAGGTCAGCACAGCTCGCTGTCTGGGAGGTGAACACTCACATTCCTTGTGTCCTTGCTGAATGTTGTCCCTGTCCCCCCCAGATCAGGCACGAGGTGAACTACCAGAACGTGGTGCACAAGCTGTGCAGCGACGCCTGCTTCTCCCAGTTCCGCTCGGCCAACAACCTGACCATGAACTGCTGTGAATACTGTGGGGGGTACTGCTACAGTGGCTCTGGGCAGTGCCACATCCTGCAGATAGAGGGACAGTCCAAAAAGTTCTGCAGTTCCATATGTGTGACGGCCTACAAGCAGGTATGTGGGACAGGACAAGGGGGATCGGCTTCCCGCAGCCGGAGGGAAGGGTCGGATGGGGTTTGGGGAGAAATTCTCCCCTGGGAGGGCAGGGAGGCCCTGGCACAGGTTGCCCAGAGAAGCTGTGGCTGCCCCTGGATCCCTGGGAGTTGCCCCTGGAGCAACCTGGGCTAGTGGAAGGTGTCCCTGCCCATGGCAGGCGGTGGGACTGGATGATCTTTAAGGTCCCTTCCAGCCCAAACCAGTCTGGGATTCCACAATTCTATGATTCTGTATTTGGACTGAATACTAAAAATATGTCTTGGAGATTTGGGGTGTTTAGAAACACCCAGTGTATTAGTAGATTATGGCAGTTACTGGGTTGGTCTAAGGTAACTGCTTTTGCCATTTCATGGAGGAACAGTCATTAAGGTTGGAAAAGCCCTCCAGGGTTGTCAAGTCCAACCTTCAACCCAATGTCACGATGCCCATCAAACCATCTCACCAAGTGTCACATGTACTTGTGTTTTGAACACTTCCAGGGATGATGATTTGCTTAATCTTTGCCCAGACATGTTGCTCTGTTTTTTCCTTACCCCTGAACCAGCTACCAGAGAATTCCAGTGTGGGAGAAGACACACTGTGACTGTTTTCAGTCTCTGAGATGCTCCCTGTTTGAGTATTTTTTTTTATTAAATTAAATCATAGCCCTTAAATTAAGTGGAGAGGAAAAGTAATAATCAATTGATAATTATGATTTTAATTTATAAACTTTTCATATTTGTTTTTTATTATAATGTATCCTCTTAAAGAGCTGACCATTTGAGGCAACATTAATTTGTTTTAATAGCTCAGTTATTTTTGACTGACCTATCTTAATGCAATTACTTTAGGAAAAATTGCCCTCTGATAGGAGAGTGTAACTTCATTTTGTGACTTGACTCTGCTGTCCCATTACTCAGGCCACTTAGGCCAAGAAAGGCCTAATGAATTAAAAAATACCCACATGGTAAACGTATTTCATCCAGAAAATTGCCTCCAGCATTAGCTGGCCTCTGAAACAGATCTGGAAATGAAATTAAATAAACTGGAAAGGATTTCATGCTGCTTTTGCATCACACATCAGAACCCCACATATGATAGTTCTCCTGGAAATACAGTATGTTCAGTGCCTATAAGGTTAAGTCTGATCTATTTTTAATTGACTTTTAAACAGCATTCAACTCAATTGTCAGGTAGATTGTGATAGTTTCTGGGGTTTTGTGGGTGTTTTTAAATCCTTAAAAGCTTATACTCTGTTCTGTCCTGTGAAGAGCTGGAATAGCTGGTGAACAAAGTGCATTTTTAAGGCTGTCAAACTAAAATAGTCTGGTGTACTAATTCTCAAAGTTTATTCTGAACTTAGAGACCTTACAAATCTTAAATACAGAAAATGTGTCCATGAAAGTCAGGCTTCTCTCACCTGTAGTGGTGTTTGCATTGGAGGCCTTTGCCCAGACAGCCTGGTACTGGTTAAACTGGGGTGGGGAAGCTCAAACCAGAACTCAAATAAGTGCATCTGCACCATAAATAACAGCTGTAAAACGAGTGTGGTTTCAAACACACCAGCACATTTTATACGTGTTTTATATGTTACTGATAATTCCCAGGTTAATAAAAATTTTTCAAAAAAATTGAAACGAATGACCCATTTCCCTGTTCCCACAGAAGTCAGCTAAAATCACCCCCTGCACACTGTGTAAATCTCTGAGATCTTCAGCTGAGATGGTGGAGAGCACAAACAACGTGGGGAAAACGGAATTGTTTTGCTCTGTGAACTGTTTGTCAGCATACAGAGTAAAAATAGTCTCTTCTGCAGGTAAGCTTGTCCTTTCACTTCTTTAGAAGCTTAATTTCACAGTGCTCATACCCAGACTTTATATGTCCTGAAAGTTAAGGCTGATATTCTTTTTTAAGGGAAGTGCTGAGATGGGAACATAAGGAAGGACTTTCTACTATAGGTAAACTTAGCAGTGACAGTACAGCCATTTCAGTTTTGGTTTTAGGGAGCTTAAACATGATAATCAACCTTAGATCTGTTTTCTGCTCTTGCAAGTGCAGCTGGTGGGTTTCCCAGCCACTTGTGTGGACATACACCATGTCACTGCTGGGGCTCCTCTGCCCTTGTTCTCTGGGGTGATGAGTTTGTTACCTCAGCCCAGTGTTGCAAGGAGCCAGGCAAACATCTTCTCAGCTATTTTTCTTGTGGAAATAGAAAAATGCTTACTGACATCCTAGGAATACTGGGAGATTAATTAAATTTCTGGCAAGCAACAGGCACAGCAGCTGCAGTGTCTGCTTCTGAATCTGCAGAAATGTCATCTCGGGCTTCTCTCTGTACCTTGGCTCATCATTCAGACTGTTCTTGTATGCACGGTGCAAAATCATCTGTGATACAACCTGATGTTGCATTAATCACTTTTTCTTCTCTGTTTCACCCTCAGGTGTCCAAGTTCAGTGCAACAGCTGTAAAACCTCAGCCAACCCCCAGTATCACTTGGCCATGTCAGACGGGAGCATACGCAATTTTTGCAGCTACAATTGCGTGGTGGCTTTTCAGGTGTGGCATTCCAGGGTTGCTTCTTAGCTGAATTAACAGAACGCTGAATCGGTGGTGGAAGTGTCTGGGGGTGCTGGGTAAAAGATGTAACCTTGCAAAGTAAAGCCTGATCCTTTGCTTCCCTGCAGAACCTGTTCAACAAGCCTTCGGGGCTGAAGTCCTCGGTGGTGCCGCTGTCGCAGGGTCAGGTCATCGTGAGCATCCCCTCGGGGACGGTGGTGTCGGCTGCTGGCACCACCTCCACGGTGTCCCCCAGCTCCACCAGCACCTCAGCTGCTGCAGGGCTCCAGAGACTGGCTGCCCAGTGCCAGCAGGTCACTTTTACCCGCCCTTTTGTAAAACTCAAGTGTCAGCACTGCAGCAGATCGTTTACAACCAAACCTGAGCTGCTTGACTACAAGGTAATCGAGATCAGGGCTTTTCAAGCTCTCTTTTCTCAGCAGAAAGCCAAGGAATTGTGCTTTATATTCACTGGTCTGTCAGTACTGCTCTGTTGCTTACTATGAGCTGCTATGGAGGGATTTGGAACTGATTTTGGTATTATTTAATGATTATCAAACTAAATGCTGATACGAGCTCTGTGGTCTTAAAAGCAGAAAAAAAAAAAAAAAAGACCACCAAAAACCCCCAAACTAAATGATTGCCTGGCTAAAGAAACACATTCCCATCTCTTGGACCCAGAGATGATCCTTTTAATCCAAGGGCAAAGCACACTGGTGAGGGTTTTCTGCAGAAAGTTCTGCTTTATTGTAAAGCTAAAGGGGAGATTCATTTGCTGGTGCTGTCTGTTGTTGATTTCCAAGGGTATAAATATGTTTCTGCGTTTTTATTAACGGTTAAAATGTATTATCTGGGATGTGACTCATTCAGACATTGAAACCAAAACATTCTGGCTGTGTTGCAGGGTAAAATGTTCCTCTTCTGTGGGAAGACCTGCTGTGATGAGTATAACAGTGTGATGGCTTTGTGTGAATACTGCAGGTTTGAGAAAATTATCAAGGAGACAGTGAGATTCTCAGGCACAGATAAAACGTTCTGTAGTGAAGGTAAGAAAGGGCAAACCCCTGTCTCAGAGAAATCAAGTGTTTTGCCTTAAAATTATTGGTGATACTAAGAGAAATCTAATATTTTTAAGTTAGAAATCTGGTTTTTTAGGTTTAGGAACACAGAACCTTCTTCACACTTAAGATTTTAATGGTATGTTTGAACAAATTACTACAGACATCACTAAATACAAGAACCGGAAGTGCTCAGTGGTTGCCTTTTTGGTGCTGAAGAATGTTTTTGCTGTTTCCTTTCAGTTTGTAAACTGCTCTATAAACACGACTTGTCAAAGCGCTGGGGAAACCACTGTAAGATGTGCAGTTACTGTTTACAAACTGCCCCCAAACTGGTGCAGAATCACTTTGCGGGGAAAACGGAGGAATTCTGCTCAGAGGAGTGCATGTCTAAATTCACAGTTCTGTTTTACCAGGTAAGCAGTGTTGTCACATCCTCCAGCAGAGGGTTTTTGTCCACGTGCTCCTCGTTGGTGCTTCCAGGTGTGTTCAGTTCGTCCCTCGCTCTCTTTTCCCAGATGGCAAAGTGTGACGGGTGTAAGAAGCAGGGCAAACTCGGCGAGTCCATCAAGTGGCAAGGGGAGATGAAGCATTTTTGCAACCTGCCTTGCATTCTGCTGTTCTGCAAACAGCAAAGTGTTCCTGACCCTCCACCCCCAAACAACACAGGTAACCCGGGCTGGGCATGGTGCTGCCTGTTGGTGTGTGTGACACTGAGATGGATGTTTGCTTGGAAACTCAATTCAGTGAACTTTTTAAGATCTGTCTTCTCCTGGGGAGTTTGCCTGTTGCTGTTGGATGGGCTCAGGTTTAGATCTCTCTTACTTGAGGCAGTTTCAAACTTCCTGCAGGTGTGAGGTGCAATTGCTTCATATGCCAAACAGATTTTAGAGAAGATGAACCAAAAGCACTTGGTTTTCAGACACTTCCATGAAAAAAGGCCTGTTCTCTTGGGGTGAAACGTACTGATCTGGTGAAGGCATGTTAAATATGTCACTTGTCTTGATAACACAGAGCAGATATGGTGGAATGTTAATTTTCAGTTAACAAAAGCAATCAATTGGTGAAATTAATAGAGTTAATGGCTGTAAATACAGACTCACATATATGCACTTAAAGCAACCAGTTCTGGGCAGTCTGTGGGCATAGGAAGAGTTCCCATTTCTGTGTCATTAAGTGTTGATTCTTGGAAGTGTCATTCCCAAGGTTAATGAGGGCTGTAGCTGTTTCCTTGAGCAGGTGGAATGGAAATGAGGGTGGGAATGAAGCCCACTGGAACAGGAACTGTGAGTTTCTGTAGGGAATGAAAGGCAAAGAAAGGCCCACAAAGACAGGAAGAGGAAGGGAAACAAGAAGCAGGAATATCACTGATCCTAAAGAGGGGCATAATCTCCCACTGAGTGATGGTGGCTGTAACAGTAAGGTACCCCAAACCAATAAAGTATATTAACTGGAAGTTTATAGTGTGCACCAGGCCACAGTCAGCTTTTCAGCTTGGTGCACATCTGCTGCTTACACTGGTGGGAGCTCTTTTCCCCCTCTTGCTTTGTTTGCTTGTGGAACCAGCTCCTGTTTAAACTGAAATGCTGCAGCTTTACACCTTCATCCCCTTCTCACAGCAACCTTTTTCATCTGGAGATAAATCTGAAGGGGGGGTGTTGTTTCAGAAATGCTATTTTACAGATTATCTTACTGCTTATTTTCATTTTCTTCTGCTCACTGTGTCCAGCAAACCTTTCCATGGCACCTGCCTCCTCCTCAGGCCCTCCTTCTTTGAGAAAGGACTCAACCCCTGTCATAGCAAACGTGGTGTCCCTTGCAAGCACCCCAGCTGCCCAGCCTACTGTTAACTCCAACAATGTCTTACAGGGTAAGGCAGCTGAATACGATGCCTGTGCTTTTAAATCTCTATTCCTGAACATTTATATTTGCTCAGGGATTTTTTTTCACTGAGGACAACAGCCACTTCTTCATTATTCTTCACGTCAGTGCAGGTGGTTGCATTTGTTCTTCCTTTATATAGGTATAAATACTGACTTGAATTTATGTACCTAAACAGGGAATGAGTTTTAATTGGAATTCTTTTTCTTGACCTTGGCAGAATATGGATTATGGTCCTTGATAAGTACACAGGTTATTGTATGGTTTTTTTTTCTTCACAGGTGCAGTCCCTACTGTGACAGCAAAAATAATAGGAGATGTAAGTTTTACAAGAGACTCTTTTTTTCTCTCTTTCACCCAAATTGTATCAGTAACAAGTAAAGTATTTAAGAGTTTTGCACTGTCATTTTGGAACTGCTTTCCCTGGTTATGATTGGGCTTTAAAATTCATCCAGCTTGCAGATGCTTTTTAAAAAATGGATAGCACTTATATGGCATAAAAGTTCTGTTGTGTCTGCTGACAGATTGGATGATTTAAGGCAAAGCCTGTCAGATTGTAGCTCTTGAGGTGTCTGTGGTTCTCAAGTAATTCAGTGGTTTTACATCACTTTACTCAGTTTTTTAGGTATCTGTATCAGACTTTTAGTTATCAAAAGTATCTTAACTCCTTTTTATATCTTTGCCATCAGTAAGATTCCGAGATCAAAAGTTTATAGTGGTTATTTGACTGCAGGAACCCAGTATTCCTGCAGATCTGTTCACTGCACTGTTAACAAAATTACCTGGTTTTGCAGTAGTTTTTAAATGATCATTTTTATCAGCAAGTAGAGTTTTAAATTGTTCAACCTCCCACAGCAGAGAACAAACACTACTCCTATGTTATCTTTCAAAGCGATACCGACTCTGCCCTGATTTTGTGTTTTCCAAACAGGCAAGTACCCAGACAGATGCCCTGAAGCTCCCATCATCAAAACCACCCAGGCTTCTAAAAAACAAAGCTTTATTGTGCAAGCCAATCACACAGACTAAGGCCACCTCCTGCAAACCTCACACACAACACAAAGAATGCCAGACAGGTGGGTATCTGGTCTCCTACCCCTGCTGTAAAAACCTGCATTGCAGTTGAGAGAGTAATACATGACTCATGTAGCAGAGTATTATTTAATGTATTTTAAAACCTTAACTAGTTTTCAGGTGGTTGTGTGTTGTTCTTCCGACCATTTTTGGTTTGTTCTGTTTTTGGTGTAACAGAAGCAGCGCCTGTTCCGCCCCAGATCGTTGTGGTACCTGTTCCTGTACCAGTGTTTGTGCCAGTGCCCCTCCACCTCTACACTCAGTACACACCAGTTCCCCTGGGGATGCCAGTACCTGTAAGTTATGCTGCAGTTCACTACAGAAGTCAGTGGTTTCCAGTCTTGTTTGGTGTCCAGCACAACCAGCACAGTGTCACTGGGTGTTGTGTCTGCTCCTGCAGGCGGTACTTGGAGTCCTCCAAGGCATTTCCCTCCCTATTGCTTAATGTTTGGTTAAAAATCATCACACAAAACTGCCAGTTTGTAGGGAGAGTACAGAACAAGTTGTCCTGTCTGGAGTTATTTTAAAATTAATTTCAGTAGTCCTGAGATATATGTAAGATTAAATGAGAGGAATCTCCCTTGTGTATTTGCTGTTTCCCTTCAGCCTTAAGTATGGTCTGATATTTTCCACGTGTTCCATAGATACCAGTTCCCATGCCCTTCCCAACTACCCTGGATAACGCTGATAAGATCATTGAAAATATTCAGGATGGCAAGGAAAAGGTTTCCATGAATCCATTTGAAGCTGATCTCCTTCAGATGGCGGAAATGATTGCAGCAGATGCGGAGAGAGAAAAAACACACTCTCATGGTGGTAGGTGGTGGTTTGCAAAAGGAGATGAAATGCAGTGAGGGGAAGGTCCTCTCACCACAGAGATTTCCCTTTCCCCCATCCTGGGTGCTGATTTGACTTGTGTTGACAGTAACAGGTTACTAGAGGTAGTAATCTCCAGATCAGTACATCATGTGTTAGAAGGAGGAGCCAAAATCAAGAAGACAGAGCAGCTGTTTTAAAGCAGTATTTTCCTATCAGGATTTCTATGGTGAGTTCTTGAAGGGTGGTGCAGGTCAGAGTGTGCTGGATAGTGACCAACCCATATAGTAAAAATTGAACAAGCTGAAAAGAGATGAACAGAATATCTTTATTTGTCCAAAGATGACTCAAACAACAAATGGGGAGGGATGGAAACCTTTGGAAAAGCAAGCATAGGTTAGTTCTGCATTTCTGTTTCCCCTGCAACAGCATGACCAAGGTAGAAAGCTACTGGGAGAACTCCAGTAAAGGAGAAGACACATCATGTGTGTTAATATTATGAGCTAATACATATTTTTTTGGTGTGCAAAGTATTTTATGTTAGTCATGTAAGCTGTCAGTCATGTGTAGATACAGATTTCCTTCTTTCTCCAAAGGATCTCAAACATCTGAGCACGAGCTCTTCCTGGACCCCAAGATATTTGAGAAAGGTCAGTCAGTATTTTTTTTTTTTTTTTACAAGTGGATGTTGATCCTCTCACATCTTTTCTGGCAACCCCCTGGTTTCTGCCTTTCCCATGGTCTGTGTGATCCCTCTCCTTACAGACCAGGGCAGCACCTACAGCGGAGACCTGGAGTCCGAGGCCGTGTCCACCCCCCACAGCTGGGAGGAGGAGCTGAACCACTACGCCTTACGATCCAGTGCCCTGCCAGAGCCCGAGCCAGAGCTGAAGCAGTTCTCCAAAGGGGATGTGGAACAGGACCTGGAGGCAGATTTCCCATCAGGTCAGTGCAATATGAAGAAAAGCTCACTGTCCTGTTGAAGCACACACGGTTTTCTGCATGAGTGTTGTACCAGCAGCCTGCTTGTGTGTTATCATGGAGTGAAACTGGGTATTTAAAGCTGCAGTTATCGATCAGCTCTACTAGAAATTACTACTTTAAAAATATTACTGGTATCTTTAAAGACAGCATTCTGCAGAACCCCTGACAGGAGTAGCAGGCAGCCTTGCTTGACTCCTTTAACTCATCACTTCTGTGTCCCTGGGTGTAATCCATGTGAGTGGGGGGTCAGATCATGTTTGCCTGAATAAATAAACCCACTGTTTCAGGGGGTTTTTTTGCTTCTGCTGAGAATTTACTTCCTTTTTACAGAAAATGCATAGATTGCTTAGTCATTCGAATGTCAGCATTATTTGAATATACAGCTGTGATTGCCAAGAGTCAGGTGTTCCATAGTATCTCAGTGACAGTGACACTTCTACCTGGGCTGCTAAATCATGTAATTAAACTCTTCATGGTGTTGATTTGACTTCAGACTCATTTGACCCTCTCAGTAAAGGACTGGGTTTGCAGTCACGTTCGCGGGCAAGGCGGAGACACAGGGACGGCTTCCCACAGCCAAAAAGAAGGGTAAGGAAGCACTTCTGGAACTGGAATTTGAAATAATAACATCATGTGCACTAATCTGAGCATCTGTGGATGAGGAGCCTGTTAAATGCTGATTGTTTTGCTGTGCTGGTTTGCCTGCAGGGACGGAAGAAGTCTGTGGTTGCTGCGGAGCCCCGGAATCTCGTGCAGGGCTCCTACCCCGGGTGCTCTGTGTCTGGGATGACCCTGAAGTACATGTACGGGGTAAACGCCTGGAAAAACTGGGTCCAGTGGAAAAACGCACAGGAGGAACAAGGGGACCTGAAGTTTTCAGGTGAATTTGTCTCAGTGGAAACAGAAACACTTAGTTGAAGAGCACTTGTCGTGATATGTTGTTCAAGTGAAAATTAGGATTAGATATCACTGAGTTTTACAATATCCATAAGTGGAGAACAGATTTTGTGGAATACTGTCTTACATTTTTCCATGCATTTAAAAATCATGGCTGTTACATTCTTAAGTGATCTGCTTGCTTTAAAAACAGGCTGTAAAACATTAGAAATGTTGGTCTTTTAACCTCCGATTTGCCTTCATTTGCACGTAGTGATTCTTCATTTGTAGCAGAGATGCCTCTTATGCAGCTGCAGAGCTTTTCTGAGCTAGTACAGAGTCATAGATTTATCAGGCCATAATTCTAAGTTGACAGCACCAACTTGGCCCATCCTTTTCATCTGTAGCTGGCGCACTCCCAAGGTATTTGTTTGTCAGCAGAACCGTTTGCTGTAAAATAATTGTGTGCTACAACATCAAAATCTTAGCACCTTATCTCTAGGCTTCACAGCTGGAAAGAAACATTCCAAAAGTCTGTGCTGCAACCTGCCTGAAATTAACTTCATTGCTCCTCTTGTCTCACTGGGGTGACAGATAATAATGACATAAAATGTCACTTTTGTTTTTCCAGTGATGGATTACTTTATTTTTTTTCACAAAAGCCCAGCAGTCCTGGGATTTGGCAGTGTCTGACTCCCCTTTTCCCTGTCTCAGATCTTACATCATTGCACTGAGTTTTGTGGGCAAATTTTCAGAGTCAAGCAGAGAATTTAAGTTAGGAATAGAACTGAGCTTTTTGGGGATGGTGAGGAAGGAAGAGAGCAAACCATAATAAATACTTGTGCAATGTAAAGAACTAAGCATGACAGGACTTGTATAAGAAAGATCCCAAAGGGAAAAATTCTAATTAGGATGAGATCTGCTTTTTCATCTCTCATTTGAAATTTTTGTTGCCATTACATGAGAGCAGCTGGGGTTTATTTCCCAGAAGAGGAGTAATCACATGAGTTACTGTTTTCTTCTTGTGGCTAAGGAAGTATTACAGTTATTTCCAAGAAACTGTGCCCACTCTCAGAAAGATTCCCTGCTTGCTTATTCCCAAGCAGGCACTTTTTAAAGTGTGGAGCAGCCAAGCCTGGTGATTTCACTGTAGATCATTTGATTGATTCCTGGTTGCTCTGCTTCCCTTTCCAAATCCCCCACGTGTCCCATTAAACTCTTCCTTCCTTCTGCCTTTAAGAAGTCAGATTTGCTGCACTCAGTTATGTGCAGAACTGTTAGGAAATGCTCAAGGCTCTCACTCCCCTGAGTCCAGCTGGAGAGGGGAAACCTCTTTGTCAGCCCATACAGGGTCGTTCATGTGTGAGAGGAGATTCAGGAGCTCTGCCTACGTGAAATAATAAGGAATGTGTGAAGGTTTAATCCGTTGAATTAATTTTTCCAATGATTTTCCTGGCCCCAGTTCATCCTGTGAAGCTCAAGGAGGACATTCTCTCATGCACTTTTGCTGAGCTGAGTTTTGGCTTGTGCCAGTTTATTCAAGAGGTGCGGAGACCAAACGGAGAAAAATACGATCCTGACAGCATCTTATACTTGTGCCTTGGAATTCAGCAGGTAACTCCAAGGATTAGGGGGATGCTGGGAACAGACAGAACTTGCTCTGGCTATTTATGCTTTACATCCATAGTCCCACATAGCAGCTTGGGTTTTGTAGAGGAGGCAACGACGTCTCTTTTTTGTGCTTTATTCTTTGTCTTAATTCCGTATTTTACTGATTTGTCTTGACTTTTTTATGCTTAGAGAGACCAAGTTCTTCTGTCCTTGTAGGAATGTGATGTGGGGGGCTGGGTGTTCCTGCCTAGGCACAAAACTTTGGGTCTGGAACCATTTTGGACCTATTTAATATATAGGAAAGGTCTGCTGTAGGGTGGGATGTTTTAGATCTAAAATAATTGCATGATGCTCTTCTAATATATAAAAGTTTACATGGGAGGGGTTACCCAGGAAAGACTCTCAGTGGCAAGACCTGTTGTGTCCTGAAGTATCCTCTCTGCAATGTTATTTAATCACCAACTGTGTGTCTCCCTGTTTTTTCTCTCGTAGTACCTATTTGAGAATGGTAGAATAGACAACATTTTTACTGAGCCCTATTCCAGGTTCATGATTGAACTTACAAAACTTCTGAAAATCTGGGAACCTACAATTCTTCCAAATGGTAGGACAATTCTTTCCTTTGGTGTAGCTGCATGATGAAGCTCTGTCATAAATTAATGTTTTCTCATGCTCGGTGTTATGGGAATTACACATTTTTGGAATTGGCTGACTGTGGTTTAATACAGTGCAATTAGAACTTAGTGAGGATCTGCTGGTGTCTGCAGTGTTCCTTTGTATCCTTCCCCTCAGGTGTTGGAAGATCATGCTGTTCCACAGCTTGGTTCTCCATGTCCCTCCTGTGTTTCTGCATGCAGAATTCTGATTTTGTTGGATTAAAATTGCTTATAATAGGTGTGAATTTGGCCTGATATAGGGTTCATCAATGTAGTTTGGCTGAAAGAGGACTTTAAAGCATAAATAACTATTTTCTTTCTTTCTTTGCCCGTCCCTTCCAGGTTATATGTTCTCAAGAATTGAAGAGGAACACTTGTGGGAGTGTAAGCAGCTGGGTGCATATTCCCCCATCGTTTTATTGAACACCCTTCTATTCTTCAACACCAAATACTTCCAACTAAAGAATGTCAGTGAGCACCTGAAACTGTCCTTTGCCCATGTTATGAGGCGCACCCGAACTCTGAAGTATAATACTAAGATGACATATTTACGTTTTTTCCCACCCTTTCAAAAACAAGAGGTAGAATCAGGTGAGTGCTCTCTGACCATCGGGGTTTGGGCAATCAGGTTTGTGTTGTCTGGATCACAGAATTCATTGTATTGTCTGCTTCTTTTTTAAAAAGGACTGGGGAGAAAAAAATGTGTTATTCAGTAAGCAGAGCTATGCATATGCTGTTCTCCTGGACATTTCCAGTATTTTTCACTGGTTTAATGGTATTTTATAACATCCTCGACTGGCATGAAGTTTTATTAACTACTGCATGAGTTAAAGGCCTTTTCTGAAGTCCTTTTCTCAGCACTTCCATATTCTCGAGGTTTCGAGGTCCAGACCCTCACTGTGCCTTTTTAATTCCCAGATTTGTCCTGGGTCTGTGTGGGGAACAAACCTGGCAGCCCCAATTGAGAACAGCAGTTAGGGGCTTGCACACGAGCAGGGACTCTCCTTTTGACCTCAGAGGCAAAGACAGATTTTTGTTCTCGGTTAATTTTGGTGTTTGGGAGAGGGAAGTGTTTGATCCTGTGGGCCCCTTCAGTTCATAGTTCCCGTGTGTCTTTGGGTGGTGCAGAGTCACCCCTGGGTGCTGGGCTCAGAGACCTGGGCTGCTTCTGAGGGTGCTGCTTTTCCACTGAACTTCTGTGATGCCACTTTTGTGTATGCAGATAAATTATCCGTAGGCAAAAGGAAACGCAGCGAAGATGAGGAGAGTCCAACAGCAGTGGAGATGGCTGAGAACACGGAAAACCCCCTGCGCTGTCCAGTCCGACTTTATGAATTCTACTTATCAAAATGGTGAGTGACAGAACCTGATCTTTGCTCTGTGTGTAGATTAGAGCAGGCATTTGGGCAAGGAGCCCACCCAGACCTTCTGTGCCTGTGCTGTGGCTCCTCTCTCCAATTGCTGATCCTCGGTGTGAGCGGAACCATCCTGACAGGAATTCCAGCAGCAGCACTGCTGTGACCCCCAAATAGGTATTTTTTGTTACTGGTGTTGAGTCAAGAGTGGACTTACAGGGAGAGATGTATCCTTTAAACAAATAAATTCTTGGTGTAAATGTAAACTGGGGGCATTACTACAGTGCCCATGGCATTCTTTCCCTGAATTCCCAGTCTCCTTCTTTTGAGGAGATTGTAACTAATACCCCAACATCATAATTCCTGTGAAAGAAGGAGGAAGGAGTGTGAATTAAGTAAAACTCCTGATAACTCTTGCCTGTCGAGATGTGAGATTAACTTGTATTTAGGAGTTAGAAAGAAGACTATAACAAGGACATAGATATAAATCAATTCTGGAATCCTAGAACCATTTTCATTCAGAGATTGGATGTCAAATGCATCCATCAATCATCCCATTGCCAGTGCCATTAATTGGATTGCACTCTGATCAAAGAACCATTGCTGTAAAGAAGTCACTCTGATTTCCTTTGTTTCTTTATGACCAACTAACGCTGAGAGACTGGGAAACAATTTAACTGTTCCCTAAGTGGAATGAGGGAGACCATCTAAGAAAAAGATACAAGTGACACTGTTTAAATTGTAATTTTGTCTCAACGTAGCTTTGATTTCCCTGCTGGTTCTCTTTTAATTTTTCATGAGTAAGGCTGTGAATGCAGCCCAGTGTTCCTAAAGCTTCCTCTCTCTCCGTTGGCAGCTCTGAAAGCGTGAAGCAGAGGAGTGATGTGTTCTACCTGCAGCCCGAGCGCTCCTGTGTCCCCAACAGCCCCATGTGGTATTCCACACTGCCCATAGACCCAGGAACCTTGGACATCATGTTAACTCGGATTCTTATGGTGAGGGAGGTACACGAAGAACTTGCCAAAGTCAAATCAGAGGACTCTGACATTGAGTTATCAGACTAACCGAAGCGGGGTATTTTCCTTTGAATACACATCAGAAGCACCAAAATGTGAATACGTCCAGCATTTGGAAAATGTGTATCAAATAGGCCAAGAAAATGTCACCTACAGGCAGATTTTGTACCACAGTGGATGTACAAACTGGAACTGGAAGGAAGCAAGCTGTATAAGCTGCAAAACCCGACGTCCTGTGGCACCGACCGATCCTCGGAACAAATCCAACTCAGCTATTGGAGTGGTGCATAAATCCTTTATCTGTTTAGGATTTTTTAAAAGTTGTGAGATATTTTTAAGGCAAATGGTTGTGTAAAATCTCCCCTTGCACTGTTGGGCACGGAGAGCTAGACTGTGGCTCAGGTGACTCCCCAGCCTGCTGGCTGGCAGTCCTTGCTGCCAGAGAACACGAGGATCTTCCCAAGGATCCGAGAGAAAGGGGTGAGGTTTGGACAAACAGACACCTTCCGTTATAAATACACCTACACATACACTCTTATAGTTTTTTTTTTAATCTGGGATCAAGTGTTAGGAAGGCAGGAGCCACTGGCCATCCAAATGGACAGCTCTGGCTGCTGTGGGATGGTCACAGGAGGCCAGACTCCGGCTCTCACTCCGGGCTCTCCTCTGCTGGAAGAGGTGCTGTAGGTCAGATCCGGGGGATGGACAGCAGGTGATCCTGGGCCCTGTGCAGTCCCTTCCCCAGCCCAGGAGCTCTGCACTCTGTCCTTGCAGTCCAGCCAATCCTGTGGTGCACAGAAGGTTTTTTTCCCTTAAGGCAGCTTTTCCTTTCTCCTCTTTCCCTCCTCCTGCTGTTTGGGTTATTTTGTGAGGTGAATCCGGAGAGGGCTTTGTCATTTCAAACAGAAATACACACACACACTCTTTCTCTTTCCACCTTTGCAGTGTTGTGCAAAGGATGCAGTATTACTTCTGACACCGGAACTGTGGTAGAAAATAACCATGTGTGTTTTTTTTTCCCACCCCACCCAAAGAGATTTAGTCATAGTGTTGGAAATTGAAAGAGATTTTTTTAAGGCTTGGCTGTTACTGAGTCTTTTAGAAGAGAAAAGCTCCCACGTGGTGTTTAGAGGACAGGACATTATCAGATACTCTCTGTAGCTCTGTTTTCTTAAGCTCTAGACATGTGTTTCTGATGACCAGTGATCACAAATTCATTGGAAACCCAAACTGTTTTTAAAGAAGAGAACTGTATGGTTTTTATCTAGCTCTGGTCAGTTATCCATCTTCTGTAACAGGGGTCTGATATTTGAGCTTGTCACTAAAGTTTCAAGAGAAAAAAAAATCAACAGCCTTGAATTATATTTCCTTTTTTTTTTTTGTTTTGTTTTGGTTGGTTGGGTTTTTTTGTTTTTAATTATTTTTTTAGCAGTTACGAAAGTAATTTAACAAAAATAAAATCAGAAAGTAGTCTATTGACGTTGTGTACTCGGTAGTCCTGTCCCTGCCTGTAACAGATTTCACTGATGTATTTTTTAATACAGAAAATTATGTGAAAAGTAAAACCTGCCCCTGATTCTGTCTGATCAAAGCCCACCTGTGTCTGTCATTTCTGAGCAAAGGTCCTGCTTTGTCCCTGGCCTGGCATTGCCAGGGGAGATGTTTGGGCTGTACCCCAGCACTCAGGGATGCTCCTGTGGGCTCCATCCTTGTTCCAGGAGCACTGACCTGTGGTTACAGTGAACTGTGAAATAGCAGGCACAGTGCTTTGGATTGGGATGGTGGATAGAACATTCCAGGGAAAGCAAAGTCATTCTGCAGGGCATTAAAGGCCCGAGGTGTGTCTGCTGCACACGGCTGTGCCCAGAGCCTCCGTGTCCGTAGGAGAGGGGGAGCCTCCAGGAATCCCTGTGTTTCCTGGGCATCCCCTCCACAAGTGCAGCTGTTGGGGGCTGCAGGAAACTGCCCCTGGCTGCTCCCTCCTTCCCTGACCCCCTGAATGAGCAAGGGAGCCGTGAGGACACAGGCTGTGGGGAGGGCAGGCTTTCCTCGGGTGGGGATGGTCTGAAAAATAATCCCACAGCTGAGTGTCCCCTTAAGAGACATTAACAGAAACATTCCCATAAATGTAGGATATTTGTACCTTATGAGTAAAAACACCCTTTCCTTCCTCTGAAGACTCTCACTGTTTCTTGTCTGGGAACACTTTCATTTAGGTTAATTTTTTCCAGGTACTTTGAATGAAAGCTACTTACCTTTCAGATTCTCTCAGCAAGGAAAGTGAAATCACTTTGAGACTCACGGGCTGAAAACAAAGTTGTTTAACGTTGTATGAACTCCTTTTACCTGGTGGCTCTGAGATAAGGAACGTTTCAGTGCAGTTTTATGGTAATAATTAGCATGAGTAGTTTCACTTTCACTGCTGTTTGGAGGCCCTTTGGCAATGATTGGCCTTGTCCAGGGTCAGCCTGGGCTTTTTTTGCCTCCTGAGGGATTTCTTGTCAGCTCGAATTCATACTGATTACAGGAAGGATTACCTTGAAGGATTAAAATATATTTGTAGATCGTACACACAGGCTCAAAGTTCTGAACACAAACTTCCTTGCAGTCAACATTTCTGACTCAGTTGCTGAGTGCACAACACTGTCTACTGAAATAGTTTTTTAATATGAGAAGAATGCTGCTGTAGTCTCAGTGTGGACAGAGAAGAAGCAAAGATGGGTGTGAGACAGAAATACCAAAAGCTCCTGCCCTCGGTGTGCCAGCAGGTCCTGCTGCGGGAGGTGCTCTGACAAACCTGCCGCTCCAGGTTTTGAACCTCCTGGCTTTGGTTCACAAAAGCAGGAAACTGGGGGTGCTTTGAAAGCCACAGAATTAAGTGCAAAAGGAAGTTAAATTATCTTAGGAATTGTTCTGCCAAATACTGCTCTAAAAGATGCCCTTGGATTTCTCTGGAACAGTCTCCAGCCCCTCAGAGACTTTAAATCAGTAGCGAAGTCCCTCGTGCCCCGTGGCCCGGGTGTGCTCTGCAGCAGGAGCTCCCTCGGTGCCACTTCTGTGCCAGGGTCACAGAGGTGACTGAATGTGCAATAAAGTCCCTGGTTTTTTAAAAACAGTCTCAGTAGGTCTCCTCAGTCCCCTGAGAAGTAGTTTTGGTGTTGCTTTAAACGAACCTGGAACAAATTCATGTATCGGATGCTTGTGGAGCTCGTAACCCCTGGGTGAGGTTGGAGATTGGCTCCCCTTGGCACAAACAGGTTCCTCTCCAATTTTTCTTCAATGTATCATCCATTTTAAACATTTCAGAGGCAAAATTAAGATATTCTGTCTTTGAAACAAAGAGCTGCTCCCTGGCAGTAGGAGCCCTGAGCATCATCAGCCTTGCAATGCCTGAATGGTTTTGCACAATTGTCTTTGTTACTCAGTTGACTCCAACCCTTTTTTTAAGGTGGATTTTTTTAAACTAAGGAAGAAATTACTGAGTCTGACCACTGGCACAAACAGTCCCTCTAACTTCATCCCGTGGCACCTGGCTGAGCTGTGAGAATTTGCCTTTTTCTCTTGAGTTTCCCCACCACACTCCCAAAATGCTTTCCAGGACGTTTCTATTGTGTTGTGCTTTCTGAGGGAACAATTTTGGACATCCCAGGAAGAGCAAGTGGCAGAGGAGCCATTGCAGGGTGCTGAGAAGGTGCTTTGGGCAGGCAGGTAATTGATAGTATGTGGCAAAAAACTCATATAAATATTGAAGTGTCTGGGATTCATAGTTTTATATTCAAAACATCTCGCCCCAGAGGTCCTTGGTGCTCAGCCACTGGCACCGGTGCTAGCTCTGCTCCAGGGAGTGTTGCACAGTTGTAGAAGGGTTTTTAAAGTCATAAAGTCTCAAAGGAACTCTGGCAGCTTGGATTCTCCTAACCACAGAACTCAAATGTCCATTGGACATCACATTCCCTAAACTGATGGATTTTCAGCAGAGATTCGGCTTTTATTAAAGAAATAAAACCTGAGTTACCTGACTGTCACCTGCCAGGAGGGAAAATGGAATTTAGGGCAATGAAACAGTGAAGTTAGACAGAGCATCACACCCCAAATCTCAAAATGCATCCCAAGGGCACGATTTTAATCCTGGCAGGTCCATGTGGATGTGGGTGGGATGAGTTATTCCAGGTTGGTTAACTCTTGGTTCTTAGTCAATGAAGGGGCTTGGGCCTGCAAGTCCTGGACTTTTTATCCTCTCTCCTGCATATTTGTAACACAAAAAGCCAGAACTATTTGAAAAGGTCTTTTTGAGCTGCTGGAAGCCAGGCAGCTGCTTTGGAGAGGAGGGTGAGGGTGATGGCCCCTGACCTTTCTCCCTGGTTAAGCCACCCACCCATCACCCAGCCCAGGCTCCAGCATCCACTTCCCTGTTGGATTCACTGGTGTTGGAGCAATGATGCCTCACGTCTCATCCCTCCCAATCTGCACCTGGGTTGTACCTCTGTAAACTGGCCAGATTTTCCTACCTCGTTTTGGGCATTATGAGGCAGAATTCCATAGGATGCTTTGCAGCCCCATGATGAAAGGTGCTATATAACTGCAAAGTGTTACTTCAAAAGATGTAACTAGGTCACCACTGCATCATAACCTATATTAAAAAGACTTTTTCTTATATAAGAATTTATAGAGTTCAATGTATGGTAATAATAAGTGAATTATTGAGACCCCCAGAATAGTTTTTGTTTCAGTTGTATCTGTACTCTGGAAAAGTGATTAAAAACCTTTAACCTTACTAGAAGAGTGCATCCTCCTTTTCTGTATGATGTTGGAATCTACATTTAAAAGCAGAATCTCACAGATTTAGGGTGGGGAGGGCTGAGTTGGTTTTAGTCCAGTGCTACAATTGCAGCTGCAGACCTGCACAGCAACACTTGGTCCTTCCCACGAGGTGTTTGGCAGCTCACGCTCAGTTCTGCTCCTCTGGGATGGGCTGTAGGTACAAACCTTCCCCAGACCCAGGGCAGGGGAACTGCTGGTACAGGTCAGTCCTTGGGCCCAGATGTCACCTGTGTTCTCTCACCCTCGAGTGGCACCATCACACAAGAGCCCCAGTAACACAGAAACACCATCTCTGCTGCAGGCAAAGCAACTTTATTGGCTTCAGGGCACTCATTGCTCAGGGGAATCCAAAGCTTTTGAGAGAGTGGGGTCTGTGGGGGCTTCCCAGCACCTGCCACGCTGCCTGGCAACACCTCAGGATCAGCACTTCTTTCGGATTCCTCATCTGCAGCTGCTGCCTCCTTGGGTTTGTCACCTGGAGTTAACTTTTCTTGGGTTTGTCACCTGAGTCTTTCTTCTCAACGGGCAGCGAGGCACCAGCTGCTGCCCCGAGTGACCCCAGGCCAGTTGTCAGCACTGCTGTGGTACCAGTAGAAAAACCTACAGCTCCTGCCAAGACAGATGGAAGAGTGATATCCCAGCAGCATCGAGGCTGCCTGCTGAGGTACTGGGCACAGGGCAAGGACAGCCAAAGACTTCTCCTGGGCAGGGGGAGCTTGGAGAGTTCACCATGGAGCGATTTCAACCCGTGACAGCTCAAGGGGCTGGTTTGGCCCTACAGCAAGACCAGGGTATAACCCCCTGTTCCTGAAGGCATGAACCCAGTGCAGCCCAGCTGCCCTGCCCTCCCCACTCACCGATGGACTGCAGCACAGCCACGGTGCTGCCGGCTGCCACTCCCCCTCCGTTGGCGATGGCAGCTGCCGACATCATCTTGGCAGCGATGGATCCAGCGGCGATGCCGCCTGCGGTGAACCCCAGCCCAGCAACGAACGCCGGGACGGCAACCAGTGCCACTCCTGCAGGGAGGACACTGCAGTGTCAGGGTGCTCTCTGTGCCCCACACCTCCCCCTGCCACCAGAGCCCCAGAACCGGCCTCCCCAAAAGGACCGAGGGGTCAGAGTGGGGAGCGAGGGCTGTGGGGTGCAGGGACACCCCACCCTGGGCAGGACAGGAACAGTGGGCAGGGCTGCAGCACTGATTCCAGGCCAGTGCTGCCCCCTCCTCCACAGCAGCACCCCAATTCCCCCCAGCACTCCCAGCCCCAGCCCAGCCCAGTCCCCACACCCAGACGGGGCTGGCACTGGGCAGTGAACCCGAGCACTGCTCAGCCACTGCCAGACCCTCACTCACCTGCTCCAATTGCGGCTCCAATTGCAGCTCTTTTGGCTCTCTTTTTCCATCCTAAGAAGGGAAATAACAGGAGGGCAGTAAAGCTCACCCCAGGCTGAGCCCAGTGTCCTGTACCAGGCAGGGCAGGGGGTGGGAGCAGCAGCTCCCCCAGGCCCCCCTGCATTCAGCTCACCCCAGCCCCTGCACATCCCACAGTCCATGGACACCCTGCCCTGCCCTACCCTGCCCGATGCACCCCACTGACCCAGAACACACAGCCCGTGTCAGCTATACTGGAATACTATTACCCTCACCTTTGCCACCAGGACTATTGTTATTTCCAGGTTTTCCTCCTGGACTAGTCTTCTTGGGTTCCCCATCTGTACTCTCGTTCTCGTCCTCAGATTCCTCATCTGGAGTTGTCTCCTTCTTGGGTTCCTCATCTGGACTTGGCTTCCTCTTGGGCATGTTGGCACCGTTTGCTGCACCGAGTGTCACCAGGGTAGCTGTCAGCCCAATTTTGGCACTGAGAAACCTGTTGTCCCGGGCCAGTGCTGCCCCTCCCTCACACCAACATTCTGATTCTCCCCGGCCCCGGCACTCGCAGCCCCCGGCCCGGCCGGGTCCCCCGTGACCAGACGGGGCTGGGACGGGGCAGTGAATCCCAGCGCCGGCGCTTCACCTGCTCTGGCTGCAGCTCCAGCGGCGGCTCCGTTGCCTCCGTGTCTCACGGCTAAGAGGGAAAAAGGCAGGAGGGCAGGAGGGAGAAGGAGAACACGAAAAGGAAGAGGACAGGGCAGGTGGAAGAGGGTCGGAGCAGCGCTCACCTGCCGCCGCACCCCGCGGGATCGGATCAGGGCAGATGCTCGCCGTGGGCGTGTCCCGTCCCACCCATACCCGGCTCATCCCGGGGAGGGGCGGAGGACTGCGCTGGAGAGTCTTAGTCTGGGGGGTCAGATACAGCGAGGGGAACACGCGAGAGAGGTGGGGGTGCCAGTGGAGGGTCCCGGTCGAGGTGCAGGGGGTCGTAGCAGGGGTCTGTTTGGGAAGAGAAACACCACCGCTCCAAACACGCCCTACTCCTCCTTCTCCCCGCCTCAATTTTATTTGCTGAGCGTGATGTCATATGATCTGGAACATCCCTTTGGTCACTTGTGGTCAGCTGGCCCTGCTGTGCCTCCTCCCGATTTCCCATGCTCCCTCAAAATCCTCCACAACCTGGCGGTATGAGGAGCATAAAAGAACTGCCCAGCAACAACAAAACGTCTCTGTGTCATCAACCCTATGTTTAGCACAAATCCCAAACACAGATCCAGACCAGCTACTGGGAAAAAAAAAAATAACTTGACCCCAGCCCAAACCAGCACAGTGGCCAGCAGGGCAGTCCCCACAGCTGTGAGGAATCCTGTTGCCTCTGAGGAAAAGGAGGAGAAATCAGCCTGAGCCCCCCAGCCTGGCCCAAGCATGGACCCCACACTGCCCCCATTGCCTGGGGGAGCACCCCAAGGAGGAGCAGCCACCCCAAACCTCACATCCCAGCTGCCATTGGGCATCCCCATACCCAGGCCAAGGCAGGGAGTGGAGCCACACTGGGCACCCCTGAGTGGGTGGGACTCTGAGGATCCCCACGGCCACCCCAGGCCCTGGGCACACTGCTGGCACTGCCTGGGGAGACCAGAGCACTAAGGTGACCCCATGGGCACAAATCGACTGTGCCATGGCCACCAGGCTCCTGCCAGCCACCCTCCCACCATGGGTCTGGGCCACACACCAGCCATGGGTCTGGCTGCATTTCCTGCTCTGCTGAAGCCCAGAGCAGGCAGCAGGGTGAGTGGCACCACAGCTGTAGGAGTCCAGGGTCACAGAGCAGCAGTGATGTCCTGCAGGCACCCG